GCTGTTTACCGTGCGCCGTGATACCCATGTACGGGCCTACGGTGTTGCCGCGCCGGGCTCAGGCGGTTTGGAGTCCCGCCACGCGATCGGGCATGCACGCAAGCAGACGCTTTCTTACCTCGCCCCATTATCCGAAATACTTATTTCGGGAGTAAAACCGTTATTACACCAAGGGGTGTGGGCATGACTCAGGTTTGTTTAAATTTTACACAAATTGCCACTGGCAGGGCTTCTGACATGTTCATGCACTTAATACTGTTCAGTATTATCGTATGCGAAATATAATGCCTTACTATCAAAAATGTATAAGCCATTTTGTGTAAAACATTCAACTCACACGTGTATATTTTCCTCATCTAGGCTACAAACGATGACCATAAGGATTCCGTCAGCCAGTTGGTTTCCACCCCCTCCCCTTCTTTCGGGTTACTTTTTTTTGTCTTCAAGGTGGACTTTTTAGATTACATTAAAAACAAGTACCCCGTCAGAAACAAACTTCGACTTAAATGTCAGCGTGGCGCTAAAAGCACGACACTTACCGTTCTCGAAACGGCCGCGGTACCGGTAGGTAACCTAGGTTGTGCGGACCGTGCCAGATTGCAAACCTGTGGAGATGTGGAAGGCGAAATCAGGACATACTAGGAACAAATATGAGACAACGGGAAAAAAATGGGTTAAATGGAACGAAAAATCTGTTTTCGCAACGGGTCAGCAAAACTCTGGCTGCGCGCCTGAACAGCCGGCCATATAATAATGGAGAGATGGCTGAATGCTTGCCAAGATTGACGCCAAGTGAGCCACTTGAAATGAACATGCGCACACTCATTACATTAAGCGAGAAGTGTCGGGGCTCATCGACGATAATACGACAAGCTTGGCACAATTATCCGTGCTTCTTAGTCCACGTGTAGCTAAGCCCGAGTCACAGCCATCTCCTCACGCGACCACAGCGTGGCATTGGCTTGGCTCGGCAGCCCTGTCTCCACCAAACTGTCTTGCCCAGTTGCTGCTCGTCCTGTCTTCAAGAAAACTGAATTCATCTCTCCATGGAAACTATGGCAACTCAAACACATCTGTTTGTTTATGTAATTCAGACGTTATTTGGCCATCAGTATGTCGAGGCTTGGGCAAACAGCTGCGTGATCAGTGAGACGGTTGAGCCGTGCAAGCCCGGCAGTCGGACCCTCACCTCACCGGTGCACTGCGGCCCAAACCGGTCAGGGTATATTAGAGATCGCTGTTTTAATTAGTCCATTTCTCCCAGTATTTACATGAAGTATTTAATTTCAATCAGGTTTTCTTACTCCATTCGACTATACAGCAGCCGTATCTGACTAAGAGATCTCACAGTATATGAGAAAAAATGCATCAAAGAGCGGAGTGGAGATTGCATACAAAGAGTAACAGGGGATCGTCTGCTCGCTGTGCAGTCGACTGAGCAACGTGACCAAATACACTCAGCAAATATTTGAGTAATCTGAATGGTTACCATGGAAGCCGTTGATATTGAATCACCACCTCATCCTTGGCTCCGTTGTCAAGCAGCGGGCACCTCGGATCCCTTCGGCTCTTGTTTTTCTCGCGCACTGCGCACGAGACCCCGCTCGCGGGCGAATTAAACATTAATCTGGCGAGTTACAGCTCAACCTGAGGGGCCGAGCGGTAGATGGGGCTCGAGGGTGCTTGAGGATGCATCGCGAGACGGTGTGAGGAGCGGGGGGCACCCGCTGAAGATGCGGCGGAGAGGGCGGACCTGGGCCTCTAAGACCCACACTCTGAAACACGTCCCAAGAAAAGCCCAGGCGGATGAAGTGTTGACACAGCGGAGCGAACAGATGGAAGACAGCACGGAGGGGAGAGGGGAAGATGCCAATATAACATCATGGACGTGTTTGGGAGTGATACATCAATCTCAACATCATGACCAAACGCCAACTACAAAGTGGAAATGGTTATGAATGTTGCTACATAGTATCATGCATTCATATCAATAATTCTCCATCAATACACGCCATCATAAGTATTCAGGGTATGACATAACATCATAAAAGCATGGTCAAGAACGAAGATCCATATTTTTAGTATTTTCATTCTGGTACATACATGTTTCCCAGGCAGTAAAACCGACTCTTGCAATGGTGTGAAAATTTCCAAAAATATCCTGCTTTTTTCACCAAATCTTATTTAATTGAGCAAGCTGTACGCAACGTTTGGTATTATTACTTTGTGCAATATACAGTTACATCATGTTAAGATTCAGGCACTGATGAAGACATATACGCGACTGGCATTTTTTAAAGATGATGAATATTATGCGAATCTGCATGAATTACATTACGAATGTCAGTTTGCAAGCACGGTGTTCCCAGTCCATTTCTGTCATTTTTAAAAACGCCACCAAAATCGCTTCTGAACCAAAGTGAAAGCAGGTAGATTAATATCGCTTCGATTACGAACGGCAAACAGAGAAACGTTCCAGCCCGTTCCGTGACAACCGCAGTACAGACTGCTGTATGCCAGCGAATTCCGCAATGCTGTTGCACGGCACAGTGCGGAGCCACCTGTCAAGATAATGGATGTTCGATTTTCCCATGGCTTGTCGATTCCCACAGCCCATTAAGTCGACTGTAATACAATTTTCAATGCCGCGGACTGCCAATACCAAGTACGATAAATGTCAAAATATTATTAATATTAATGACATGCCATTTCTGTGGTATGAATCATCCGAGGCACGCACCTGAACTTTCTTCAAGGTTGAAAGCTGATCAACCCATAAAGTGTACCACCAAACGGGATAGCATTGATTTAGCAAGAGCCTTCCCTGTCGTCTTTCAGTATCCCCCAAACAGTGTGCATTGAAGTCAACTAATTCATGTAATATTGTCGTATAGAAATGCGGCAGCAGATCGTTTGCGCAAAAATATTGGAAGATTGCCAACGTCTCGGTGGGGAGGCGATTCCAAACTGAGAGAAGCCTCGCCCGGCGTCCACCGCCTGAATTTCTGTTGTTCCGCTCGGGGATATCTAAACCAGAGGTGTGCAGTAAAACTTTGTGGCACGTGGCATTGTGGGACAAAAACAAAATGGCCTACAAAATTGGCCAGGTTATGCTACACGCGAACTCAATGACGTCAAAGGTGAAGTGCAATGCGCCATCAACCAAGTAAAGTCGCTTGACTCCAAAGCAGCTTGAAATGTGCAGCGGGACTTATTTTCATAAAGAAGCAGAAGCCCGTCGATTTGCTCTTCAGTGATACGCCATGATGAGGTGCAATTGTGACATTTTAGGGTCCGTCTGTATAGCTCCATGAAGAAGGCAAAGCCAACAGGATCTCTCCAACTTTTCAAGGTTGACTCGAAATGAAATGCAATGAACGAACCTTCTTCTTAGGTGGTCATGAAATCATGCATAAGACGGATGGATCCAATTCACGGTGCCTGCATCTTTAAGAAGCTGGAAGGGGGTATGCGTTGCATAACCCGTGGAAAGACGGACAGCATGCGTGTGCTTTTTGGAGCAACACACATTTGTGCCAAAAGGCATTATAAATGACCGAATCACAACAACATTAAAATTGTATCAATCACTGTTGCTCGCGCCCTGCAACTCAACTTCTCAGTCGGGTTCAAGCATCCAGAAACTAGATCAGACCAAATCATTTGACACCGATTATCCCTCCCCAGTGGTCAGCCGTAGCACTTTTGTACCGCTGTGATCGTCTGGATCTGGTTACTCTCCCGTAGCACGCCCCTGTCCCTTCACTGACCCCCAGACTTCACCCGTCGACCCCGCCCTATTGGCTTTTCCTCCTGTAGGCTCCTCTCCAGCAGTGACACGTCGCATTAATCACCGGAGATCATTAGTTAATGTCACACTAAAAAACGTTGACGGCCCATTAACCACATGGAAACTCATCACAAAATAGCCGTTGGGGGAATATTCAATCTTGAAGTAATCTACGTATGCACGCAGTCAGCTAGTCTGGGAGTTTTTATGGCTGTTTTATGGTTGTTACAGGAAGACCTAATGTCACGTTTGCCAGGAGCAATGTCACTGCTTTCATCGTCTACATTAGGCCCCAAATCACTGTAAGCACAATCGTGCTGAAAATCGTCTTAATCACCATCACCATTATCGCCATTATTCTCACCACTAGCAACACGTTCATCACCACCGAGACCATCATCAACATCACCACCACAATCATCATTCCAATCAGCAACAATTTCATCACCACATTACACCGTCACCAATGTCACCACCTAAATTATCACCGTCATTATCAGCAGCAACACATGTTTTTCACCACCACCCATCATAGTTTTCACCATCCCCACGTTTATCGTTATCAGCAACAATTCCACGACTACGATGCACCATCGCACTAGTGGTTTTGTGGGGGAGACGCGCCCATCCCCCCGGGTAGTTTGTTGTTACTTAGGTGTGGCGATGGTACTGATGGCTGATTTTGACAGAGATAAAGTAAACGGGTGAATCAAATGTATGTTGGATAAAAACTCTCTACATAAATATCAGTTAGAATGACGATAGATGTTTGAGTTGCAAACTGTTTAGACAAGTAATGTTAAATCTGTGGTCCTTCATTGAAACAGATTTTTTTTTGGACAAAGAAAAGAAAAAGGTGAGGAACTTGGCATCATCGGCTTGAATGAAGGGAATCTTTTCATAAAACGCGAAGGAAACTGCACACCTATAGCGGAACACATCACATTTGCAAGACCTAACTGCATTTCGTTGTGACTTGTATTACATTTTATCCATTTATGGCAAGTGTGGTTATGAATGAGCTCAATGTCAACACACACACATCAGACTGAAACGATAGTACGGTGTGAGATCTGTTGGCCAAGCCGATTGGTTCGTGCCGGGTCACATGCTCACCTGGATTGACGTGACAGTGTGCGCCTGTGCCGACGACCGTGATCACAAGTCAAGCCGCGTTTTATCAACAGCTGCGACAGGGCCTCGCCGTATAGTGGTTGGGCCGGCATAGTACAAGCCAGAAAGCAAGGACCAGCAGACTCATTCATTGCGTGAGGGAGGCCGGGGATCGGCTTGGCGTGACAACAGCAAAAATAATAATGGAGAAATCTGCGGCCACCATGGGCCCAACTTTCGCTGATTACGGCGACCACGGAGGGGTGTACTCCAGCATGCGAGGTCTCGACTACGTGGGGAACATGTCCCAGGGTTTGTATCACGGGAAGCACTACGCGACCTTGGAGTCGCACGGACCTCAAACTCAGGCGGCGTGTTTTCCCCATCTAACTGACCATGCCGGGCAGAGAATCCATGATTTAAATCCCACGGGCTGTGCTCTGAATTATATATACGGGGGTGCTTCGTACGCGTACGGGGGCAGCGAAGCGAACCACTACCCCCAGACGGGGACGAACACATCGGACAGCAACAGTAGTGGGCCCGATTACGCGCCGCACATCCAACGACACGTGAGGACAGCCTCGACGCCCACCGCACACTACAACGGCAACTACAGTGAGAACGCGACAAGTCTCAACACAACGCCGACCAGGAGCTCTCGGCTGGAGCAAGGCGGCGAGTCACGGCCAGTCACCAGTGACTCGGACCGACAAACTACTGCAGCCACGGCCCCGTCCGACCAGTCAGCTAATGGGGAGACTGGCCTATACAACTGGATGAAAATTAAGAGAAAACCGCCCAAAACAGGTAACTCACTGCTGGGATTTCTGTCTTATATTTTTCTCTGACGGATACATTGAGATGTATATGTACATGTACACTCCGTGCAGTCCAACAATGTGCAAATGATATCGTTACGCATTCTATACCGTCTCATTTCCAACTGTTCTCTCTCGCAGCTCCTTACAGTTATTCGATATTCTGAGCTAACTCACCATCTTGCACATCACAGTATTTTCATTGGTGATTTGAATGTAATCATTTAACGTCAGCAGCCTGTATAATACAAGTTTGGTCTCGTTCTCTCGGCCCATTACGAGCGAATAATGCTGCCTGTTTGCTGTTAGGCCTATGACCACGGTCCCTATCGAACTTGTCATTTCAAATGGTATACATAGGTTGCACTTGCTCGTCAGGTGAGCAAGTAGTGAGGCAAGAATTCCCCGAGCCTTGTGTAAATTCGTTTGGCCTGGACCCGGCACGTGTGTCGTCGCCAGCCGTCGTACTTTTGACTTCTCATCGCTTGTGCCCGCTCCCTCGCTGCTAAACAATATCACGGTCCCGTGGCCACCGCGGGAGCCAAACGACCAGGGCTGTCACGGCAGAAAAATCCGCAAGACCACGGTCTGCCAGGCTTCCGTGTCTAACAACTCCGGAGCCGAGCAGTTCCTAAATGAGATATTCTACAGCCCCCAAACGCCTTGCGTTTTTTCATTGACGCTTTATGTATTTGCGGTCGGTTTGTTTGACTGAAGTAGACACGAAGCCGCGCGGAATATTCTTCTATGTATGCTTTGTAATCATAAATGGAAAGGGCAGTTTTGCGTGACGAAGCCTTTAATATCTGAGCGGCATGTAATTTATGCTGGGGTCTCCTAGGCAGATGTGTTTCGTATCTTTATTGTACTGTCAACCAGCCACGGTTATTGGGCCATGCACGATATGGGGCTATGTTTGCATCAGATCACGCAATGGTAAATCATGGTCTTGACTATTAATTTACGGATACAATTTTATTTTGTAATAACAGCGATATATAGCTTCTCAAGCCAGAACTGTTTCAGTGCCGACCCAATAAGTCAAAGCTGGTCAGACGATAATGAACTGTTTCCCTCCGTTTTGTCGGGCAATGGCCGAGAAGGCCATACTCTGTCTTCTTCCGTTTCAAAATATCTCAGTGAATTGCATCGGCCGGGTCTGTTGTGTCTACTAAGCCGTTCACTGATCAACTAACATGATATGAACAAAAAACGAAACATCACAAGAAATAATTATGTGGGCATTAATTGAGAAGATGAGATGTGACCTACTTTATGTCGTGTGAGAAAAATATGACACGGTGTCAGCGCCTGCAGAAGTGAGACTTCAATAATCGGCACGGCCGTCACACAAAAAAAATCTCCTATGATCTGGAAAGGGGACAGAGAAAATTGTCCTCAAATGCCCGTCGTTGTCTCGTCCATTTCGAGTGCAGATCACTCGAAAATGAAATTTAGCTCTTGGCGATTGAATTAGCATTGCAACCCCCCCTCTCTCTCTCTATCTCTCTCCAGCGTTTGATCTACGATGATGCCAGAACGAGTTGCCAGCCACGCTGGGCTAAACATAATGACAGTTTTATGATGAACACTGGCACAAGAGAGTCGCTGATAAATAGCCACTGGCTGGTAGAAATGTAGTCTTCTCTTGCTTAGCACGTTTAGGAGACGTTTGTCTTTCCGATGGAGTCATTGGGATGTTTAAGATCAATACAGCAAGAATCACATACACCTTCTGTTTGTTTTCTTTGTTCAAAATCTCTACTTAAAAATCACAGAAATGGCAATTTACATTTACATTTTAATCGTGGAAGTTTCAACTTGCATCATCTTTACATCCATCCCCGTCAAGCTGCACAGGTGAAGCTCGAGGGAAATCTCTAGAGCTATGGTCTGTTCGAGATATGTTCCATTTTTGTTAAATAACAACTTGGGAAAAAAGATTTGGCTGAATCTTAAAGAGAAGTTTTTCGAAACAGAATCACGTGAAGACATTTAGAGTATACGTTCTATATGTCATGGCTTTCCGGCGAAAATGTTTTTTTTTAACTATGGAAAAACTATTGGGAAAGGAGCTTCTGAAGTTACCGGACTGTTTTCTCTAACTCTGAATCTTGAAAATATGAATTTTGTAGGCCCTCAGAAACTAGTAGGAAGAAAGTTGGAATCATTGATAATTTAAGGAAAAATTATTCATCAAGAATAAACTTCAATGTACACGCTATAAATCTCATACCATATGAATGAAAAACCCTGTCCATTCCTTGACAAAATAAGCAGTGTTATTATTCAGGTCTGGGGCAATTTTATTGTTAAAGATTGACAGAAGATTTATCCTGCGCTTTATCGATAATTTCTTGTAGATATTAAATTGCTAGTGACAGCCCAGAATAGACAACATGTAACCCCCAAAAGGAACGTAAAAAAGACGAAGCAAAAAGTAATCTATAAAAAGTCCGAGGATCGCTGATTAATAAAGAAAAAATCTGCATAAGCCTATATTACTGGAATCACTATATACCTGTGCCTGAACGTGCCCAAATGCCTAAAACGTGACCACAATGTAATGAGTTCTATGTCAGTAAGCACCATGCATGTAATGGAGTTCTAATTCTGTGAGTACTTGAAATGACAAGTGTTGCATCTCCATTTCTTATTATTTCTATCCTGGTCTTCTTAACGTATTAATGACCACTAAGTAGATAACTTAGTTAATGCACCGTTATCAGTTGAAAAAAATCAGTATCAAAATTTCGTAAAATAATTATAGAAAATGGAATTTAATTAAAACCCGATAGTATTGAATGCATGCAATGAGCACGCTGGCTTTGATTCGTTGGCGGGTTAATTCAAGCGAAGATTAGACGTGTGACTTATACCCGATGAGATCTTTCTATAGTAATTATTGCTTGAGTCCGCGGGATGAAGAAAAGGAGAAGCGGTCGAGAAGAAAGACTACAGAAGCCCGCTGAGAAAGGCCGGTCAAATCCCAAGCATGTCTGTGTGTAGGCTAACCGCTCAGTTCCTTTTTTTTTTTTTCTTTTTTTTTTTTTCTTCCGACGGAGTCGAGTCAAGTCTCGCGAACCTCTATCAGACGCGCTCTTATCCGCCCGAGGAACAAGGAGCAAACGATGCCCGCGATCTACCGGGGGAAACAAACTGTCACAACCCGGCCTGGCCCAGCTTGTGTGGGCTATGGCGCGCGCGCATGCAACCGACCGCCTCATAGTGGCAACTATTACAATGCGCGCACCGACTTACAACCGCGCCGCTGCCGCTGTGATGCCCCGATCCAGGCATCGGGAGAAATTGAGGGTGAAACTCGATGAATCAGTCGCTGGGATGCCGGGGGCCAGGATTAGCTCGGCCACCCCAACATTGGCCAACATAAAGAACGTCAAATTTACTTTGAATCGAGCCGATCACGTCGCCACTTGATAGCACGCAAATCTCATTCCCGAAACCGATACTGTACTCGCACCCTCTCCCGTCTCTTTGTTAGTAAAACGTTCGCTTAGGCAAGTAGTCGGAATTTTGGGTAAATATCTGAAAATGAGTGATATTCATCCCTGGCCGCATGCGGGGAGGTACTTTTTTTTCCTTCAGTGGTGGAAAGCAGAATAATTAAACGGTTACGCGTGAGCACCCGCGCCCAATTTCACCGTCTGACCTCCCAGCGCAAAGCGTGGCGACCAAATCAATTCATTTCACCTAAAAAAAAAACGTTTGGATGAAAATAATAATTCGTAGTGAAGTAACACATCACCTGTAGCTTGCTGTCAATAACTGATTTGTGGAGTCCCCACTAGCAAGCTTAAGACTGTGACGCGTAGACGAGGTCGCTGACGTCGAACTGTGTTTCGACGGCATGCATGCGCTTTTGTTGAAGGGACTCTCGGTGTCAACGTGTGTTGGCCACAAAAACATTCATTATGTCTGGTTTAAAATACTGCGTATTCTAACGGCTGTGTGAATATTATTCCTTTTATTTTTTATTGGAAAAGTAGTAGCATAGCTGGGGTGTAGAGTAAAATCAGGACGCTGCTGAAGCAAAATCGGATAACAAAATGATTATAAATGAAACATTTAGATCAATACAAATGTACATCGATAAAATTTGATCAATAATGCAAAACCACGGTTGATAAAAAGATAACACATTAACCAATGTAACTGAATCTTAACAGAAAGAAAGTCTTGGATTGGTGTTTACCTTATTCAACTGTTCTGCATTTGCAAATACCCAGTAAAACTGGCATAGGCAGGTTTCTCTTTCTCCATCAAAAAAGTAGTTAACTTTTCTGTAGCTTACCCTTTTTTTGGTAATCCCATTTTGACCCATGTCACTTTGATTTCACATCGCACGACTTTAGATCTGTTATTACAAACGATAACTCATGATAAGTTGAATACCTACATTGACAGAATTATCCTTGAAGAGGTTTTGTAACATCTCGATAATTGTCCAATAATCTCAAACATTTCCGGTGCTCTATGAAACAAACAAGAGTATCTGGCTCAATTGATCAGTTTTCGAGAGTTTTAAGTCTCACCTGTGCGAGTAAATTCATGGTATTCTGGGATACAGTCACATTCCATTGTGTGAATAAAGATGGAATTGTGATTTGACCAAAGTGTTAGGCCTACCCCTCATAATAACGAATTCCACGTAAATCATTATTGCTCTGTCTTGACGGGAGGCTCGTTCAACACTTTCTCAAAAGTCGACAGAGTTTAACCAGCAAATGTAAACAGATAGGTCAACAGAAATGTAAGTCTGCCGTCCTATTATGACATATATATGAGAGTTTTTGAATCTAGGCCTATGTGACTGACACCTAGTCCTACCACCTAACATTCACTTCCGGGAAAATCAGCAAGGATGTTAGAATAGTTTGAATCATGGAACACCCATCGCGTAATTAGTGCAAAATATTCAAATGTGTATCCACCTTATATGAACGAGCCTGACAATTTTCCATATGCTTT